GTGATGAATTTTAACAAGCCTTTCTGGATCCCAAGGTTGCCTTGGTCTTTTATCAAAGGGATGACCAGAGTTTATGCTACTTAGCCTGTGAACCATAATAATAACAAATGAGGAAGATAGTTAGGATTTATATAGCTTTATATTTAATATGGGGAGTTTCTAAAAGGAGTCTGTAAGTAGGGACTGTTGCCCAGACTCCAAGCTTTGGCCAAGCAGTTCTTGGCAGGCCTCAAAGAGGGTGGTGAAAATGCAGCTTTAAGCCATCCTTGCATCATCCTGGGGTTGTCTCCCTGCCAACATGGTCCCTAGTGTAAACTGTAACACCAGCAGAGCTACTGTATTTTGCACTGGCTGCCACTGTACCCAAGAAACTAGTCTGGTAACTGGGGATCCATGAGAAATAGGCTCCATTTAGCCATTTTAAAATGGTATGTCTTTCACAAGGATCTGGGAAAGGAAGAGCCATTGCAGTCTCTGCAGTGGCTGCAAACCAGCTGAGGCTTTATCATATCTGCACTGGCTGATGCACCAGTAGCTGGCTGAGCTGCCTCGCAGACTCCATTACACTGATAATTTGGCAAAAGAACCCAGCTTTCAGTGTCTGGAGGATGCGGTCCGCACGTCTGTGTGTGCATATGCAGATGTATGTGATGTCAGTGAATGTCCCCGCTTGCTGCAAAGGTCATTTTTCATTTGCTTCAGAAAAAAGCAACTTTGAGAATGTAATGAAGAAAATGAGGTCTGAAATTTTTTTCCTAACATCCATGAATTGCAGTACTGAGCTGAGGGGAAAGCATTCAAATCTCTGTCTGCCCTCTTGGATAGGACTCTGTAGCTCTGCAATAGTCGGCAGACATCAGTGTCTGCTTTAACTGAATATTTTTGGTATCTAATTGGCACTTAACTACCAACGTGATAGGAGCTTTAGAAATAGCTAAACCAGATAAATATTGCATCTTCTTATCCAGTGTGTATGTCTGTATCATCTGTGTGAAGCCGTGTATTAACGTGAAAAATTCCCTGTTGATTTTAATGGGATGCATCTCTCTGCAGAGAATTTGCTTCATTCAAAACTGCAGTAATGTATAGAAGGGATGATTTTTTTCTTTGTGCTGTGAACATCTAGATCAAATTCCCGGCATATTATTTGTGCAGAAATTGTGAATGCTCCCAGCTTGCAAATGAAGTCCAACCCTTGTTAATGTTTACAGTAAAACAGCTGTTCTCAGCATTTCTCCCTGAGCCTCAGCTACTTCAGCTCTGCCATAATCAGCCTTACATCATAGCAGCTGCAATAATAAGAGGCTGAAAGAGGTCAGAAGCAGCCAGTCCTGCTAAACCACACCTTTGTTTAAAAGAGATTTTGGACTGTAAAATGTCTCAACTGCTAAATTTTTCAGCCTGACTGGGCTCCATGCATGTGCTAGGTCTTCAAAGACCTAGCTCACCCAAAGCACGCAGGCACTGCTAGCAGAGAGGAAAGCAGAACACAGACTCTTTATACGTTTTCCCGGGAAACTTTCTATAGATCCAGACTGGGAAATGTTCCAAGACTTCACAGAACTAAAGATAACAGTAGTAAAAAAAAAAAAAAAAATGGACTAGAGCACACTGACTTTTAAAAGAAGTAGCTGAGCCTATTACATTTGCATGGCAAAGCCTTCATAATTCGTGAAGCAAGACTGCTAATTTACACTAATAAAAGGAAGACCACTACAGATTACTGAGTTTTAGCAATTAGCAGGTATGCAAACAAACAGCATTCTAAGGAAAGAAGAAAGCATCAGCATGTTGGTTCCTTTCAATACTATAATTTGTAAATATTTCTGATCACTCAAACAACAAATGCTACCAGATATATTTTGTAAAAAAAAATTAGGTGTTAGCAGTATGTAAAATAGAGCATTTCCTTACTCACTCTTCCTTTCAGAAGAGAGAGGCCATCATTTTTCTGGTAGGTATGAAGCATAAAATCTGTTGAGCTTCTGCAGTATCTACATTGTAGAAATACATGAATAAATAAGAGTTTAAAGTGAATTTAAGCACATTTTAACATTAGATGTCCCACATGTGATTTACTGAAACCTCTTCTTCTGTAGAGTAGCAGTGGGAGATATGTGAGGTTTAGCACATAAGAGAAAATGTGTTCATTGCTGATTTATTACACTACATAGGAATTGGATAAAATTTGTCATTTTTATTTTACTAAGAATGGAAATCTGAAAATAAAAGTAAGAAGAAAGTAAGATTTGTACAGTTTAAAAGTTTCCAAACAGATTTATAGGTCCTTTATTTTATGTCAAGAGGTTATTTTAGCAGCATTTTTACAGTTAAAATCAAGTGTGAATGTTGAATGCCAGATACTGCCTGTGACACCTTTTAAATTCATGGTGACTAAGAAACAATGACCTTTTCTGGTCTTGCAGGTCACAAGGTGATGTCACAGACTGTCAGATGATGTCACAGATGTCCTAGATTATGGCAATAGGTTGGGGCAGAGAGGCTGTCACAGCTGGAATGCTCACTGAGTTTAGCAGATTCCACAGCGTGATGCCATCAAAGGACTTAGTAAGAAATCCCAAATGTGCTTTCCAGTACAAGAAAGAGAAAGAACAATAAAACAATAGAGGCCAGACAGCAGAATTTGAGAGCATTTTTAATTGATACAGATACTTTTAATCCCATGGGATGGCAGATTCCATTGATACATTGGAAAGACAGTGTACAGTGGAAGTAATTGTGTCTAAATTGTAATAAATTGGACTGTAGTTTCAGTTATGAGTCTCAACAGTGGAGAATTATTTACCTTATTCTTTGAGACTCTAGTGATGTCAGGGTGTGGTTGCATGAGGCATTGACCAGCACAGTAAAATAGATAACCTTTCTTGAAAGGCACAGAAGCTAAATGTACAAGGACTAGACAAAGGAAATAATATGAGATGTAAGACCCACACAAATTATTTGTAGTGAACATAAGTACACGTGATAGCTCTGTGCTTTTATCACAAAAATCATGTAGTGTCTGGGGGAGAGCCTCTGCGTCCCAAAAAGCAACTTTATGTACCTTCACATATATATGTATTATATATACGTCTATAATGTGTATGTATAGATTGTGTATATGCAGTCTAATACTGAGCACTTTTAAAAGATGCAAACATCAGTGACATAAACCTTTTGTAACTACACACCCAAGCTAAATATTACTTAGCAGCGTGCATTTTTCTTTGGGTTTCACTGTGCATGCAAAGCATGATCAGTCTATTTCTTCTGGCATAAATTGTCATCTGAACCCCTGAATAAAAATATTCCTTCTAGTCTGTCATAGAGAGAGAATATATTCTAACTCACTCACTCTAGGTACAAATGTGCCTGTCATGTTTGAAAAGGCAACAGTTAAATACATGTTTCTGCTGTCAGAAATGCAGCAGTTAAACCCTAAATAATATCTATAGGATTAAGATCCAAGTACTTCACAAGAAATCTATATGCAGTTATCTTTTCACATTCCCTTTCTATCCCCTGTCATAGACTATGAAAAATAATACAAGAACTGCTCTAGTATGTGTGCTTATCTCATTAGCTCCATTTTCAGGTAAGTGGAGCAAACAGTTTCACCTTAGTAGATTTGCAGCAAAATAATATGCATTCCTTTATGCTGGAGGAATGAAAAAAATGAGAATTGAGCCCAGAATGGGGGCAGAGGGAGAGAGACAGGAGGGGGTTTTAAAGAGTTTTCGGAATAATCAGGAAATCCAGCAAGACAAACAGAATGTGGAGAGAGCAAGCCAGAATTATCAAATTACCATGACAACCGTGGGCAAGAACCCAGAGAGAATCAGGTAAAGAAATTTCAGTAGAATTACAGTTAACTTCACATTTATTTATTAAAAAAAAAAAAAAAAGAAATCCAAAGCAGTGAGGAAGAAATATTTCCTTTGGCCTGGCTCGGCGGGTCCAGAGCCCTCTGAAATGCAGCCTTGTCTGCAATTTTGAAATTGCTCTGCAAATGTAGACAAGGAGCTCCTTTCTAGATTTGCATATGTAAATTATTTTAACCAGCAGGATCTGATGTCAGATACAAAACTCAGAGACACAGATGCCTTGATTTGTTTGAAAACAGAAACGAAAAGATAATTCAGGAAAGGTAAAGGGTGCTCATGCGCGTGCGTGTGTGACACACGCAGAGTGTATATTCCTGTGTTATTTCTAAAACATCCTCCTTTGCATGGTTTTCAAATGGCCACTTTCTTCATTCAAACATTTGCATAACACATTAGTAACCAAAAAGCTTTTAAACAATGAATGCAGTGAAAAAAAAGTGAAACTAAAATAAGTAAGAGTGGTGGTGTTTATTTAAAAACGCTACTGGTTAACCATGAAGTTGTTAACCAGATTATCTGTCAAATCTGGGTTGGAATTCTGTTTGTTCAGTTTTAATATGTCATTTCAGATGATACCATTCACATCTGTGGGAAAGACAGAAGTATACAACTGTCAGGCAGAGACCCATGTCCAGAGAAGGAAGGAGGGGGATTTGTTCACGTGGGGTGTGGTTGATTTTTTAGCCCAGTTTCAAACAAAGCCCTGAAATTGCTAACACTCCATATTATAAACTAAATTCCCCCAATGCTTTATTGTTTTATGCCACTATCTGCATGCTTATTGCATTTCATATGTGCTCAGTAAACACAGAGACATGCCCAGATTGATCTTTTTAACTGCTGCCCTGAAGTTTGCTGTGTGGTCAGGGAGGGGAGTGATGCGCTCCATTGTTCCCTGCTCTGATGTCATGTTCAGGCTTTGCCTTGGTTAAACACGATTCAGTTTACTGGACTGCAGCAAAATGTCTTCAGGGAGCACAAATTTATTGTTGTAGCAGAGATGGAAAAAATAATGTGAAAAAAAAGAAGACACAGGAAAAGGGCTTAAATTCTGGTGAAAATAATTGCCACCTATATTTTTCTCTACGCTTTTTCAATAGTGGATGGGCAGCTTTTTCAGTAGTAGATGTGCACAGTCGTTTATATACACACACAAACTGCATAGCTCAAGGGTGTGTTTATTTTAATCTTGGGAAATAGGACGCTGAGATTCACTATCAGGACTTGCATCATCACAGAGATCTCTCCTAAACATGCAGTTTTGTATCACATTGTTCTTTCTTTTTACTCACATTAACCACACACGGAGTCCACATAATGGGTCTAATCCTGCTGGCTGTCCAGTGCTGTTAATGAGAGCTAAAGACATCAGGCATGTTACAGGATCCAATAGTAAATTAATTCACTTCCCCAGCATCTGAAAACTGTACGTGGGGATGGGGGGGGGGGAGAAAGGGGGTGGCCTTTTCATTATGTTGGGAGATCCTGAGAAGGAAAAGAAATATGAAGGCACTGAGTGGTGAGAAGAAGGTTTTCCCTCCTCCTCCCTCCCTCTCTCCCTGTCTCCTTCCCTCCCTCCTTAAAAAATCCCCAGGGCCAGGCCTTCCCAAATAGGGACAGTTGGCAGGTATGTGTTAATCTTGTTCCCAGCTTTGACGGAGCCAGGCACAGAGGCTCACCCAGTCCTTTCAAGGCAGTGCTTCCTGTCCTTCAAGAGTTAACCTTCTCTATAACATTTATTTCACTATCTCAGGGAAAAAAAAAAGCCTGCAGAGCTGAGAGGCTGCAGATCACAAGGCCATTCTGATAGCCTCCTGTCCCCATGGCAACAGCAACGGCATTTATCAGTTCCTTATGAGAGCAGGCACAGCAAATCTGCATTGCACATGGCAGCCTTCCAGCCTTTCAAATGAAAGAGCACTTTGAACTGCTGCCAAGTGTGGAAGGAGCAGAGCTGTCAGGACTGCTTAATGCTGGCAGTTTGTACTTGGAAGCCTTTCAGTTCCCAGAATCCTTCAGCCGTGGCAGCCTGCCAGGTACTTAGCGGAAGCTAAAAACTAACCCCCAGACCATTCACTGCAGTGCACTCAAAATTTTCCACATGTACCATGTCACAAGTGCAGACTGTACAATGAAAGCAAACGCCTTCTGCTTGGGGTTCTAATTTTATTAATAATCTAGGAAAAAGCAATCAGAGATTAGCTGGCTGACAGCTCTACAGTATAGGCACTGTTTGTAAATTGGGGGCGGGGGGGAGTATGTCAGATGTGTATTTCATCCCTCAGAAATAGAATCAGCTCCGGTAACAGCTCCGGCAGCAGCAGCTCTGCACAGCCCCAAATTTACATGCAATACCTGAACACGGGGAGATGGGTGTTAGCAGAAGGGAGACTGTGCAGATTTACAGGGGAGTGTTTTTAGCAATCATGATCAAATGCCTAGCAGTGAGACATGGAATAGAAACAGAAGACAGTATTGCTGGCTGGTAAATATTTTCTGCCCTTACCCTCTGCATTTTGCTGACATTGTGAGACTCTCGGAAACGGGCTGATGAATGTAGCACAGAACATGGCTCTTGGTGGGTTTCCTTTCAATGAGGAGTTTTCGTGTGAACTTTTCATTGTTTTGCATTACCCAGAGCACAAGCACAAGGGCTTCTATTGGCAGAGGAAACAAATTGGCACAGTTCTGCTTTTTCTTTTTTTTTAATCTGCACCAAGATCAAGGGCAAGGGCTTCATTTTCCAGCACTAGTCATAAGCCTTTAGCACAAATAGAATGAAAATTGTCTGTCGCTCAGGCACTTGGACAGGGTTCAGGAAAACTACGTCTGGCGCTAATTCCAAAGGGAAGGTTTGGTTCAATCCAGCATCATTAATTTCAGTAAACTGTTTTCACTAGTCTATATCCCACTGTTCAAACAGCTGTTTATTATCTTTTACTAAATTATATCTTTTGGAATAGAGAGTAATGAAAATTCCTTATATGACTTACATACATATGTATAGTCTCACATGTATGTATAAATAGATACAGTATACATGGATGCACTCACATTTTTTTACTTTCCTGGTTTTTCTCAACAAATGCTTGTTTCTTACCTTGCCTTCCTGTTACTAAATAAATTTCTAAAGCCAAATAAAAAAGAGTAAAAATAGCCCAGAAGGCAAAAAAGAGAGAGAGATATGAAAAAAAACCCTGGAGCAAAGACAATCTCCACAAATTTGTGAGTTTCACCACAAAACAAGGAAATGCAGAGCCTCTTTTTCAGCTTGCAGCTATCTTTGGCTGCTGCTTGAAGACTTGACTTAATTCACCCAGGCAGTAGTGTCTAAAAGTAATACAGCAAAACAGTTAATTTTGGCACTTAGTCTCCCTTAGGAATTTTACCAACAGTCTTTGAAAAGCACGTAAATGATCCTTTTTTTCCCCTCAGTTTCCCCCCATAGCTCATCTTGATATGTGCTCATAAAAGAAACTGCCTCCTCCCCCCTGTTTCTATTCTCGCCCTCATCCAGTGTCCATATCATCCTTCTTTCAATAACAATGTTAATCAGCATTTATTACATGGCCTTGGAGAAAAAGTAGTTTAGTTTTTTTCAGAAGGCCTCATGACAGAGGAAAAGGAAGTTATGCCATGTGAAATAACTTAAGATTGTGCAGCTTCTTTTCCTTTTCCCCTCCCTCCCTCCCTCCCTCCCCCCCTCCCTCCCCCTTCCCTTCCCTTCCCTTCCCTCCCCCTTCCCTTCCCTTCCCTTCCCTCCCCTTCCCTCCCCTCCCCCTTCCCTTCCCTTCCCTTCTCCTCTCCTTCCCTCCCCTCCCCCTTCCCTTCCCTTCCCTTCTCCTCTCCCTTCCTTTGCCCCTTCCCCCCTTCCCCACTTCCTTTCTTTCTTCCTTCCCTTCCTTTTCTTTCTTCCTTCCCTTCCTTTCCTTTGTTCCTTCTCTTCCTTTCTTCCTTTTTTTCCTTTCCTTCTTTTACTTTTCCTTCTTTCTTTCTTAGCTGCCCACCTCCTTCCCAGCTCCCCCATTTTTTGGAAAACACAGTGAAGTTTTGTTCAGTTCTCAAGTGTTATTAATCACTGGTGGAGGCCAAAAGCAGGGATATTTTTCTTGGCAGCACATTTTGATAAACAATCTGTGTATGGGGTGAAGGGAGGGGGGAGCCTGTCTTTCTGGTAACTAAGCTAATGTTTGGCAGATTCTTAACTGTCATGAAAGTGCAAGTGGCTCTCAGTGGGAATAGCCTTAAAAAAAAGTACCGATTCAGTTGATTCATTATTGTTGATTGTTTACTATGTCCACAGGATGTAAGATGAAAACAGTCCAGGGATAAAGTAAAAATAACAACGGTGGAAGACCCACCCTCTGCATATCCCAGCCTAGAACATGCTACCTAGTCGCTAGCCCCTTGTGAAGGGAGCAGAATTAATTACAGGTGTCTTATTTTGCACTGTGAGATTTGGCAAAGGTTAACGTGTGGAAATCTGGGCTCGCGGGTGGGTTTAAAAGCATAAAGACAGCTGTAGCAAAATTGATTTGGGGTGGGTCTCCAAGAGGACGCTTAACTGCTTTCCAGGGCCAAAGAGAGAGGTTGGGCTGCAGAGTGCCCCTGGCTGGACACATGGGGTGGTGGTGGCCTGGCTTCATCAGCGGCTGGGCTGTGGGCAGGGCAGCCTCCCACCCTCCGGTCTGTGCCCTGGGGTCCCCTCTCCGGCAGCAGTGTGGAAATGGGACTGGGAAAACCACAGGACGCAACAGGCAACATCCCTTAAGAAATGGGTCCGCACTGCAGATCAAGGAGAGAGAAAAAAGGAAGGAAGAAAAGAGGGCAGAGTTCCTAGATGGTAAAGCGATAAGGCTCTGCAAGTCAGCAAGGCTCACTACCTGAAGAATGGTAGGAAAAACAGAATTATGATGAGATGAGAATTGAAATGATAAACAGAAACACGTACTTACACTCCTATTCTTTGTACCTAGGTGTTTTGACACTTCCTGGCAGCTCCTAGTAGAAGAAAATAGTGTTTAACTTTTAATTTGACAAAATGATGCAACTCCTTACTGAAGTGTTTTGTGTTTTGATTTGCTGAACACACTCCCTTTACCACCAAGTGCTCTGTTCACTGCTGATCTCTGTGTTGAAGCTAGTGATTCGATTGTGATAGATTCTATTTTATTTGGTATACTGAGGTAAATCCATGTAAATCACACTCTTGGGAGTGCACTTCCCTTCTGGTTCTTGTATTTTTTTTTCCAGTTATATCTGCTGCTTTGACTGCTGAGAAAAAAGCCATTTCTGTAGGTGAGTGCCTGCAGAAGAACCAGCTGACGTGACTGCTGCACTGATCAGTACTGAAACTTCTTAGAGTGAGCGAGAAAGAGTTAAGCATATTCCCAGGCTGTTAGCATGTAAAGCCAGACCAGACCATTAGTTCCCAAGCTGCTGAGATCATGGGATCCTAATTATTACTGCTTGCAAACTTTGGGGCTGTCCTATATTTCACATAATTAACACGGGACTGCTGATCAATCAGTACTCCAGTATCAACAGTACTCCACCCGCATCCAGATCAACAGTAATCTTGTATTTTGGGAGATCAGGCATGGGAATGGCACAGAGCAAAGCCTGACAGACCTGGGGTATAGCCAGGCACCTGGGTTTTGTCACTTACTCCTTCACAGTGTGTTGTACCCTTTGCTTCTCATAGCTGCTGGTGGCACTAAGAAGGGTGCTGGCCACCCCCTGCATGCTGTGTTCAGTATGATTGTTTTGACTCCTTTGTTTAAATTAGAGCTTCACCTGCTGTTTTAATGTAGCACAGATGTGTATATGCCTGTGTGTGCTTGTGTACTTCCAAATAAAGAAGGCAACAGGAATAAAGGAAAAGGGATTATCAGATGGCAGTATTTATCCTAGCGCTGAAAGGAAGGAGTTAGTGTATTTCACTTCTGATAGTGAAAATTATATTCCTTGTCCCTTGGGACTACTGGCAGGTTGTAAACTTGGGGCAATCTCCACCGAATCCCTAATGCTGTATCTAAAGTGCTGACTCGTGTTCCTGTACAAAAAAGCAGTAGCCGGGTAGCAATTGCTTGCAGCTCCGTCCCTCCTTGTGCGCCCCTCCATCCTCTTATTAAACAAGCCACTGTCTGGGGGGGCTCCTACGCTATTTTCTGTTTGCTCGCTTCTTTCTTTCAGTTAGCCAGATCAGGCACCTGAATGGCTACATTGTTTGGGATTCCTCTTTTCCTTCTCCAAAAGTAATTTTAATTCCTGGATTATTTCAGAGCTAAATAAATACAAGACATGTTTAGTATAAATCCAGCAAGAGCGATCTGGATTGCTCCTGCCCTGCCATTCACATGGCGAAGGAGAGGAAAGGCGGAAGTGAGCAGGAAAGCCCGCTGCTACCCTCTCAGGGACAGTGCTGCCATAGACGAGAGCTTTGTGACATTGCCACTGTTCAATCTATTTTCCCCTACCAGATTAGATTGATACTGACAACTCGTTCCCTGTGAAGGTGCCACAGTGTGGCATTTATTTGCATTTACATTGCAGTTCTCTTCATCAGTCAGCTTTGCAGAGATCACCACTGCTGCTGGCCATATTGTTGCTATGCTGACACTTCATCCTTAAGTGCTGTTTGCGTAACGGTACAGTACGTGCCCATGGCCAAAGTTTAAATCAAAGTTTAACATTACAGAAAAAAAACAAACATATTTCCACAACTGTGTATCCTGCAAGTAAAAGCAAAGGCAGTTTGGTTGGGTCACAGATGCTAATCTCTTCTCTTTTTCTGTTCACAAACTATAAAGGGAGTTGACAGCACCTGTAAATGGTTTTCTGAGACTAGATTATATCTAACTAAGGTGGTTATTATTTACACCCACTATAAAGGCTGCTCTTGTGAGCCAAGAAGTCTGTTAATGTGAGGTGAGTGTTACCAAAAAAGGGCTTTCTTGCAGGAAGATTCAGTGGAGCAAGGAGCCAGGGTGAGGGGTGGTTCAAGCACACAGACTGCCTTGTCATGTTGTTGGGTTTGTATAACCCGGGGACTGAAATGCAGTCGGGATATGCTGCAGACCTGAATTCCCAGACACTCGGGATGAAGGGGAAAACCTCAGCTCTCAATTTTTTTAGCAGGGGCTGACCTCTTCCCACAGCCCAATTCTGCTGCTCCTATGAAGATCAGCACGGGGCAATAAAAGGATAGGAAAGGAGGTGACCTTCCAATATGAATCAGAGTGAACAACGCTTGTTTAGTCAAGTAAAGTCATATTAAAGTAGAAATCCTGCAGCCATCACTAAATCGCTGTGGCTGGAAGCAAAGACGTTCACTTTGACCAACTTTCATGTGCCTTAGTGGAAGCCTGCTTCTATGAAGCCTCTCTAATGGCCACGGTTTAGGTGTGAAATTTCTAAGTGTGAAATCCACTCTCCTTCGGTGCATCTTCTTCAGCCAATTTGCATATAGGAGACTCACATAACTCGAAGACTTTTCTATCTCTACTCGCTGCTTTGACAAGCTTTCCATGGAAAAAAAGTCCCTTTGTCCGAATTTATTTTGTTACTGGATTTGGTCCTACCATTTCTGTAACCTCAGCATATGCATTTCCTTAAGCCTTCCCTGTAAAATAATTCCACTCACATCCATATCAAATTCGTTTGTCAGTTTAACAAATTATAACCAGATCATATAAAACGTTTTAGACAACTAAAAATGGAAATGAGATGCAGTGGCGATAAGAAAGGAATTATTTAAATCAACAACTTTCTGTCGTGTGAGTTTTGAAGCGTTATTAGCCGAATGGAAGGTATCTTTCCTGCTCGGTGCCGCATCGCTGCTAGCGTTGGGTGTGCTCAAGGGAGCCGTGGCACCGCGCCACAGAACCCCCCTACTCCCTTTTAAGCGCGGAGGGAAACCTGGAATGGACTAGGATTTCGGCGTTTCTAGCAACAAAGGAAGAGGGGCTGAACAAGACATCCGCCAGACGCAGCCAGCCCGGCGGAGGCTCCGCACTCCGGAAGCGGGCGAGTCTGCCCCGCCGCGGGCACCGTGCGCCCGGGAGCGGCCCGGGGACGCGGCGCCGGTGGCCGCTCGCAGCGCAGCACGGCGGGTCCCCACCGGACCGCGTCCCCGCGGTCGAGGTTATTGTTCTTTGGACGGGGACCGCGATGTCGGTGTTTGCAAAAGCAGCCACAGAGTGCTGCGAGAGTACGAGCGGGCTGTGCAGAGCCCGTCCCGCCAGGCAGGGCACCGGCAGGGAGAAGGCACCCTCGGGAGAAGGCAGGCTGCCGAGTTTTGCTTTCCTCCCAGTGAAATGCATTCTCGGCTTATTTGCATTGAGCCGAAGTTCCTTTGAGTAATTTGCCTGTTAGCAGTGTTATGCAAATGTCAGCAAGCTAGAGAAGGGTAAATAGATAAAAAGCAGCCGTGCGTTCCGTCTCCTAGCGCCGGGAAAACCCTGTGTCCCTGTGCATGAGCGAGGTGAGATCACAGCGGTTACTCACCTGCCCGGCCGCTCCTACCCCCCGAGCAGCGCACAGCGCTGTCTTTCCCAGCCCAACCTGAAGCACTCGGCAAACATGGCCGATTTAAACAAATCAAAAGTGGAAGAGCTTCTGATGCAGTCACGGGCTCACAGAAACTGTGTCATTCTGTCACCGGGATCACTGAAAGAGAAACACGAAATCGGATATCGAGGCGGGATCCCCACCCCACCCCCTCCCCGTTTGCCTCAGCAGCGTGGCGCGCGGGAATCCCACCGTCAGCCTCGGTGGCAGGGGCAGAGCGGGGACAGAGCAGGAAGGCCGCGGGCTGCGGCGCCCCGAACCGAGACACCCGGCTCGGGAGCAAGCCCCGCGCACACGGGCGCGCGCTCCCTGGCCCGCGGCTCGCGGCGGGGCACCGCGGCGCGCGCAGGGGAGGAGAGGAGGGGGCCAGGGCGCGCGCTGCATTCAGGTTTCCAAACATAGCCGGCAGCGCGGGCTGCCCGCGCGCCCCGCCGCGCTCCAGCTGCCGCCGGGCAGCGCGCCGGGCATGCGCGCGCCGCGCAACAAGTGGGCTCCGCGCCGGCGGCGTGGGGGAGGGGAGCGGCGAGCGGGGCGCTCGGCGGTGACGCGGCGCCCCGCCCGGAGCGCGGCGCGGAGGAGGGGGAGGGGAGGGGAGGGGCGGCGCGGCGCGGGGCGGTGCGGGGGGAGCGCGGCGCGGCGGAGGGGGGCGCGCAGGCACACGCGGCGGCGCGCAGCACCCCGCGCTCGGACTGCGAGCCGCGGCGAGGATGTGAGTGAGGAGCAGGCGGCGCCGCTTGGCACGCTCCTGCCGCCACCGCTGCCACCTCCGGCGGGACCGGACAGCTCCGTGCGGGTACCCCTCTTTCGCTCGCGGCAGTGGATCAGCACGTAGCGAAGTGCGAGCTCGCGAGGCAGCCACGGCGGGTGGAAGGTGACCCCCCCCCCCCATCTTCCTCCGTGCACCTCCGCCTCCTCCCGGAGGAGGAGCAGCAGCCGCGGAGAGCTAGCGCAGGGAAACAGAAGCGGCTAGAAGGCGACCCCCACCCAGCCCCCCGGAGGAGCGGGAGAAGTGGTTCCCACCCCACCGGGGAAGCAGCGGAAGGACCAGGTAGAAGAAGCCTCTCCGGCAGCAGGAGAGAACTAAAAGCAGACGATCCCCCTGCTACAAGGGGCGACAGGATCAGGTACGGAAAGCCACCTCCCTTGCAGCCCGGGGGGGAAGACGGAGCCAGCCCCGACCCCGGCGGCAGCGGCAGCAGCTCCCCGGCCAGCAGCACCATGTCCGCCGCGCAGGTGTCGTCGTCCCGGAGGCAGTCTTGCTACCTGTGCGACCTGCCCCGCATGCCCTGGGCCATGATCTGGGACTTCACGGAGCCCGTCTGCCGGGGCTGCGTCAACTACGAGGGCGCCGACCGCATCGAGTTCGTGATCGAGACGGCCCGGCAGCTGAAGCGAGCGCACGGCTGCTTCCAGGACGGCCGCTCCCCGGGACCCCCGCCGCCTGTCGGCGTCAAGGCAGTGACGCTGTCCGCCAAAGAAGCGGCGGCAGCGGCGGCGGCCCAGCAGCAGCTCAACCATGTGGATGCCTCTTCCAAGGCAGCCTCGGCGGGGCTGACCCAGTCCAGCCTGGAACGCTACGGGCTCAGCGCCGCCGCAGCGGAGCAGCGCAGCCGTTTCGAGTACCCACCACCGCCGGGCAGCCTGGGCGGCAGCCACGGCGCCCGTCTACCCAACGGGCTGGGGGGCCCAACGGCTTCCCCAAGCCGCCTGAGGACGGGCCGCCGGAGCTGAACCGGCAGAGCCCACTCCTCCTCCTCCTCTTCTCCTCCCGCCGCGGAGCGCACGGCGGGCTGGTGTCCGGCCTGCCCCGGGGGCGCCGGCGCCCAGATGAACGTGCCCCCAAACCTGCTGCCGCAGACCCTCCTCAACGGGCCCGCCGCCCCTGGCGTGGCGCTGCCCCCGCCGCACGGGGGCCTGAGCGGCCGCGGCGGCGGGGGCCCCCCGGCTCCCTCCGCCTCCTCCCAAGGGGGCACCTGCGGCGGTGGCGCCGGGGGGAGGCGGTGGCTCGTCCTCCGAGGCCTGCGGCAAGCGGCCGGGCTCGGTGTCCAGTAGCGACCAGGAGCGGGAGCTGAAGGAGAAGCAGCGCAACGCGGAGGCTCTGGCCGAGCTCAGCGAGAGCTTGCGGAACCGGCCGAGGAGTGGGCCAGCAAGCCCAAGATCGTGCGGGACACGCTGCTCACTCTGGCCGGCTGCACCCCCCTACGAGGTGCGCTTCAAGAAGGATCACGCCCAGCTGGGCCGCGTCTTTGCCTTCGACGCTGTCTCCAAGCCGGGCATGGACTATGAGCTGAAGCTCTTTATCGAGTACCCCAGCGGCTCCGGCACCGTCTTCTCCAGCGCCTCCGGAGTGGCCAAACAGATGTACCAGGACTGCATGAAGGACTTCGGCCGCGGCCTCTCCTCGGGCTTCAAGTACCTGGAGTACGAGAAGAAGCACGGCTCCGGCGACTGGCGGCTCCTGGGGGACCTGCTGCCCGAGTCCGTGCGTTTCTTCAAGGAGCTGGTGGGCGCCGACATGCTGCCGCAGCCCTACTTGGACGCCAGCTGCCCCATGTTACCCACGGCGCTGGTGAGTCTCCCGCGGCCGGGGACTGGGGCCGGCGGGGCGCAGGGCACGGCCGCCGCCTCCCGGGGACCCGGCGGTGGCGGCGGTGGTGGCGGCGGGGCGATGCGTAAGAGGAAAGCCTCTCCCGAGCCCTCGGACTCGGCTGAGGGGGCTCTGAAGCTCAGCGACGAGCAGCAGCGGCAACAGTGGATGGCCAGCCAGAGCGAAGCGCTAAAGCTCACCATGTCGGCCGGGGGCTTCGGGGCGGTGCACGGCGGGGGCCCCCCGCCGCCGCCGCCGCCGCCCCTCGGGCCTCACTCCAACCGGACCACGCCGCCCGAGTCCGCCCCCCAGAACGGACAGTCCCCTATGGCCGCGCTCATGTCGGTGGCCGACACGCTGGGCAATGCCCACTCGCCCAAGGACGGCAGCTCGGTGCACTCCACCACGTCCACCCGCAGAAACAGCAGCAGCCCTGTGTCGCCGGCCTCGGTGCCAGGCCAGCGCCGCCTGGCCTCTCGCAATGGGGACATGAACCTACAAGTGGCCCCTCCTCCCCCCAGCGCCCACCCCGCCATGGACCAAGTGCATCCCCAAAACATTCCGGACTCCCCCATGGCCAACAGCGGGCCCCTGTGCTGCACCATTTGCCACGAACGCTTGGAGGACACCCACTTTGTTCAGTGCCCCTCTGTGCCCAGCCACAAGTTCTGCTTCCCTTGTTCCAGAGAGAGCATCAAGGCCCAAGGGGCGACTGGCGAGGTCTACTGCCCTAGCGGAGAGAAATGCCCTCTAGTCGGTTCCAATGTGCCTTGGGCGTTTATGCAGGGCGAGATCGCGACCATTTTAGCTGGGGACGTTAAAGTGAAAAAGGAGAGAGACCCTTGAGTAGGAAATCCAATCCCTTCAGACTCCTGAAGATGTAGAATTGTGAATATAACAAACTGCAAAAGTTAGTCTTATGTATAGACATTATTTTCGTCGTATGTTTCTATATTTTGAAACAAAGGTATGTACTCTTCTTCATTTGAAGGATAGAGCTGGTTTTTGTTAAACAGAATATAATATTGTTTGGTTACCACATAATACCTGTTCTCATTTCTTTGGCAGTGTGTTGGCTAGGTACAAAGTTAATAGCCCTTAGCGATTACCTGCTGCTGGTGTGTATTTTTGTAAATGTATGCACTTCTCTGAAAGAAGAAGAAAAAAAAACACAAAAAAGGAAAAAAAAAATTTTGCCAAGGCCAGTGTTGATGCCTAAAAAATTGCTACAAAAATGGTGACAGCTTATGTTTGACAAGCCCTGAGTGTTAGTCTTTCACCTTCTTTTTTTTTTTTGGTTTTGTTTTTTTTTCTGTTTGTTTGCAAAACGGTGGGGTGGCTCTTGGGGGGGGGGGGAGGGGTGGTTTTTTGTTGCAAGTTTGTAAGGAAAATGTTTCAGTTTGTTTCTATTGATCTGAACGTTTTTAATCTTCATGTGTTTTGTTTTTGCTTTTATTGATGCACGGATGCTTTTGAACAGTAGAGCAAAATGCTGTACATGAAAAACATGCTCTGTTTGTCCTTTATACATTTCTGTAGTTAACAGAACACTGTAATGTGCCTTGGAGCTTAGTAAATTGTAATAAATTCAATTGATATTAATACTTCTGGCGTAGCAAGTTTCATTTTTCTCAGAGCACAGGCAGCATGCATGAGCCATAGTGCCTCTTTAAAAGTTTCCATTACCCCATGAGCCTGCAGTTCCTTGTGATAATTGTGGCACTTGTACACACATTTTCACATACATATATGTAGTAAGATGATGATGCTGTTATCAAACTTATCTAAATCTTGGCACTGCGCCTATTTACATTTCACCTTTAATGTTGCAGTAACAGTTGCTGACTAAGCATTTTCTATTTACTGTTTCTGCATCTCATTTCCTCCTCCCTTTCTCCCCCCCCCAACCCCAGCTCTCCAGCTGCAAACTCTTTGAAATACAGGATGCATCCATTGACTGTGCAATTTAATATGGCTTCAGAACTGAAATGAAGCTCTCTTTCACAAAAAAAAAAACAAACCCAGTGTCACACGGTTAATAACTTTAGTTGATTTTTTAGTAGTGTTTGTTTGTCAAAGCTAGACATCAGCCATAGACTCGTGGTGAGGCAGATCTGTAGTTGAGCACAGTGCAGAAAAGCGGAGTGGGAAATAACAGCTTCTGCAGTTGGTGTTGCAGCTGATGAGTAGCTACCCCATTTAGGCAGTGGCTTTCCGTAACTGAGTTGGTGAACAAGTCAGGGGTTGTTCTGTGTTTTCAGATGAGGAAGCTTCCTTAAAGCACTGAACTGTAACACTTTCCTTTTGGCAATGATCATGTGGGATTCTTTGTATAATTAACTATTTTATGTGATATTGGCATTTTCTGGAGATAGAGGAGCAGTGCAATACCTGTTAGTTTATCAACAGGCAAAGTAAATACACACGCCTTATACTAGGTAGAAAATGTAAACAAACCTAATATGAACTTTGTCCTTTTCAGTGAGGCAGGTGGAAGAACGGGAGAAAACCCAAAACAAAACCAGCAGCTCTGCAGAAATCCTTTGCAGTTTGACCAGCAGAACGCAGAGCTGTTCCAAATGCAACAGTGTCAT